GAGATAGACCACTTAGGGAAGAAAGTAAGAGATGAGGAGGACTTCAACTAGGACAGTGGGGAGGAGGCAGGTTCAGGATATAATTTGAGATGGAATCAATAGAACTTGGTAACAAAGTAGGTGTTAGGGTTGAGGGAAAGACTTAATAAATGTAGAAACTGACTAATGTAAAAAAAGACTGAATTAATGGTAGGATTAATATGCTAATTAGATAACATAGAAGTTGAAATAGGTTTGAATATTGGATTTTGGCTATGGTAAATGGCACTGTGTCTATCCACTAGATTGGCTCTTAGGAGAGATTTGGGAACATAGATTAGGAACTGTCTCTCTTGATGTTGGCACTACTGTGTGCTATCTTAATTGTTTACATAACTGTGAAAGATAGGTAGTATTTAACACTGGAGAAACTTAGTGTCAGAGAAGTAAGTCTTTTGCCCAAAGTCACATAATCCCATGAATTTTCCCACACTGTTTCCATTATCTATTGCTGTGTAACAAATCATTCCTTAATTTTGTGTCTTTTTTTTTTTTTTTGTCTTTTTTCGTGTCCAGCAACGGATCACAACCCTCAGTGTCGCGCCCGTACCGGACCGGGACCGGCAACGGGATTGCAACCCTCGGTGTTGCGCCCGCACCTCGCTCAGCCAGTGAGCGGGAACCGGTCTGTATGTGGGATCCGAACCCTTGGTGGGAGCGCCGCCGCGCTCCCAAGCGGCGCACTGTAGCAGTCCGCCACCGGGCCGGCCCTAATTTTGTGTCTTAAAGCAATGATTTATTATTACTTTTCATGGTTCTGTGAGTTGCTTGAACTCAGTTGGAAAGTTCTAGCTTGAGTACTCTCATGTGGTTGCAGTCAGATGGCTGCTGGAACTAGAGTCATCTGCAGATTCAGCCATGCTGCATATCTAAGATGGTTTCTTTATTTGTGTCTTGGCGTCTCAGTTGGAAGAGCTGGGATGGCTGGTCTTCTCTGTCCACGGAGTCTCACTACATGTTCAGCCCGGCCTTTCTCAGTCAGCTACACAGCAGTTTTGGACTTGTTACACAGCATCTGGCTTAGCCCAGGGGAAGTTGTCCAAGACAGCCAGGCAGCAACTGCACAGTTTTTGATGATCTCCTTTCAGAAATCATGCCCCATCACTTCTGCTGCATTCTGTTGGTTAAAAGTGAGTCACAGGGCCAGCCGAGATTCAAGAGGAGGGAACTGCACAAAGGCATGACTATCCAGAAGACATCTTTGGAGACTAGCTTCTTCCACACACTGTGCTGTCTTTGGGAATTGTTTTTAGACAGCCTGGAAATGGATGGGTGCCAAGGGTGCCTTGCTAAAAGTGAAGATGGCACAAGAAGACATCCTGGGGAACATGAATGTTTGAAGGAAAGTCCAAGGAGGAGGAGTCAGTGAAAAAAAATGAACATCAAGAGACAGAAAGAAAATGTAGAGAAAATGATGCCACAAAAGCCCAGGGAGGAGGGAGTCACTGCCATGATAGGCATAGGTCCTTAGATTTGTTTGTCATGTTACAATGGCCATATGATTTAAATGTATTCGTATAGCTTATAATTACCCATTTAAAACACTGTCCTTTGTTTTTCTTTCCTATTTTCCCCTCTCCACATATGCATACCCAGTTGATGCCTAAAATTCCAGTTAGAACTTCCAAAACTTAATCCATTGTGAAGTTTTTATATCTTAAGTCATTTGTAAATTGTTTCGATTACGTTGGAGATACTTTACTGAGAGTAGGCTTCCACTGGAGTAGAAAGAATATGTAGTGCTTCTGGCTTCCTAGTAAGGAGGTTAGAAAGATAAGAGGTCTCTTTAGAATCGGGTGGAGAAGGTGAGCTGAATGGCATACTTCTGCTGGTCTTGCTAGAACGTTCTTTTGAGTTCCAAGAAGGTATAAAGTGCCATGCATTGAATTATACCATAGATAGGGAGAAGGGTTACTTGAGTTTGGAATTGTTGTACCTGCCAAAACTCATATGGAAATTTGATATCCAATGTGACAGTGTTGGAAACTGATTTGAGTCATGGGGGCAGATCCCTCATGAATGGATTAATGCTCTCCCTGGGGGAGGAGGGGTAATGAGTGAGTTCTCGCTCTATTAGTTCTCGCGAGAGCTGATTGTTTAAAAAGACCCTGGCACCTCTCTCTTTCTCTTGCTTCCTCTCTTTTGCTTCCTCTCTCGCCATGTGATCTGCTTGTACCCGCCAGCTGCCTGCGCTTTCCGCCATGAGTAGAAGCAGCCTGAGGCCCGTGCCAGATGCAGCTGTCCCAGAATTGTAAGCCAAATAAACCTCTTTCCTTTATAAATCACTCAGTCTCAGGTATTTCTGTTATAGCAACACAAAACAAACTAAAACAAAATTGGTACTGAGGAGTGGGATGTTGCTATACAGATACTTGAAAATGTGGATGCAGCTTTGGTACTGGGTAATGGGCAAAGGTTGGAGGAGTTTGGAGAACTTAGAAGAAGAGAAAAAGACAAGGGAAAGTTTGGAATGTCTTAGAGACTTATGTGGTGGCTAGCAGAATGCTGATAGAAATGTGGACAGTAAAGGCCATGTGGATAATGAGGTCTCAGATAGGAATGAGGAACTTATTGGGAACTGGACAAAAGATAACCCTTGCTACACCATAGCAAGGAACCTGGCTGCATTGTGCCCATGCCCTTGGACTTTATGGAAGTTGGAACTTAAGAATTGTGAACCAGAGCATTGGGCAAAGAAATTTCTAAGCAGCAAAGCATTAAGGAAGCTGCATGGTTGCTTTTAAGAACCTACTCTGAGTTATGGTGGCAAAATCATGATGTAAAGCCAGAATTTAAAAGGGAATCAGAGCGTAGAGACTTGGAAAATTTGCAGCCTGGCCGTGCAGTAAAGGCGAACAATGCAAGGGTGAAGCAGATAAACTGGTTGCTAAAGACATTATCTTGGCATGAGGCAGCCAGATGCTAATAGTGGAGAAAATGAGAGGAAAACCCTGCAGGCATTTCAGAAGTCTGGAAGGATGCCCCACCCATCACAGACCCTGAGGCCTAGAAGGATTGAGTTATCCTGGAGGACAGACCTGGGGCGCAGCTGCCCTCAGGATCCTGCTCCCTGCATCCCAGCTGCTCTGGCTGGAGCAGCCCCAAGTGTGGTTCATGCAGGAACCCTTAAGAGTAGAGGCCCAAAACCTCAGTGGCATCCATGTTGTGTTAAGTCTGCAGGCCAGCAGGATGTGAGGGCAGTGGAGGTGTGGCAGCCTCCACCCAGAGTCCAGAGGATGTATGGAAAAGCCTGGGGGCCCAGGCAGAGACCTGCTGCAGGGGTGGAGCCACTGCAGAGGCCATCTACAGACCAATGCCAAGCAGGAAAGTGGGGTCAGAGCCCCACAGAGAGCCCCCACCAGGGAAATGTCTAGTAGAGCCAATGCAGCAGGGCTGCCGCCAGGACCCCAGAACTTCAGGGCCACTGGTAATGTGCAATGCAGGCCTGGAAAAGCCACAGGCACCAGCGTGGCCTACAGGGCTATGCCTGGCAGAGCTTTGGGAACAAGGCTGCCTGATGCTTTGGGGGCCCAGATGCCCAGTTGTGCCCAGGATGCAGGACTTGGAGTCAAAGAACATTATTTTGGAGCTTTAAGATGTAGTGTCTATCCTGCTGGGTTTCGGACTTGCTTGGGGCCTGTTTTTCCTTTCTTCGAGCCTATTCCTCCCTTTTGGAATGGGAACGTGTACCCAGTGTCTGTTCCACCATTGTATCTTGGCAGTAGATAAATTTGGTTTTCGCAGGGCCGGCCCGGTGGCGCACTGGAGAATGCGCCACTTGAGAGCGCGGTGGCGCTCCCGCCGAGGGTTCGGATCCCATGTGGAGACCGGTTCCCGCTCACTGCCTGAGCGCAGTGTGGGCGCAACACTGAGGGTTGTGATCCCATTGCTGGTCCCCGGTATGGGCGCAACACCGAGGGTTGCGATCCCGTTACCGGTCAGTAAAAAAGACAAAAAGGAAAAAAAAAATTTGGTTTTCGCAGGTTCACAGCTGGAGGGACTTTTGGTCTCAGAGGAGACTTTGGACTTTTAAGTTGGTGCTGGAACAAGCTTAGACTTTTGGAACTGTTGGGATGGAATGATTGTATTTTGTATGTAAGAGGAACATGTTTTGGGGGGCCAGGGGTGGAATGATGGAGTTTGGATGTATTGTCCCCTCCAAAACTCATGTGAAAATTTGATCCCCAGTGTGGCAGTGTTGGAACCTGATTGAGTCATGGGGGCGGATCCCTTGTGAATACATTACTGCTTTCCCTGGGGGAGGGGGAGTAACGAGTGAGTTCTCACTCTATTAGTTCTCACAAGAGCTGATTGTTTAAAAAGACCCTGGCACCTTCTCCCTCTCTCTTGCTCCCTCTCTTGCCATGTGATCTGCTTGTACCTGCCCAGCTGAGGGAACAACAGTGAGAGCAGACAGTGGCCGCTGCCTGGAGTGAATGCTTCCTCTCTGAAAACTTCATTCATTCTGCAACAGGGTGTGGCTCCAAAGACACCGGTATCGTTTCACCATAATCTATTCACTTGGGATTTGTTTTAATCAGGTAGGGTGAGACACGCAGACACAGAAATGACCATCAAGAAGGAAGTCTGTAGTGAAGGGCTTCCATTGGGGTGTGTCTCTGGGGGCACATCTGCCATTCTCCAGAGCAGGGAACTAGGTGGAGACCTGGTTGGGCAAAGGAAGCCATAGATGGCACTTGGAGGACTGCGGAAAGCAGCTCTGGTGGAGGAGTGACGGCATGCTACTTTCCGCCATGAGTAGAAGCAGCCTGAGACCCTTGTCAGATGCAGCTGTCCCAGAATTGTAAGCCAAATAAACCTCTTTCTTTTATAAATTACCCAGTCTTAGGTATTTCTATTATAGCAACACAAAACGGACTAAAACAAGGGTGAAATAGGAAATCTTTTTTTTTTTTTTTTGTTCTATAATTAATAGATCACTGGTGTTTTCTTTCTTTCAGAGCACAAAGTTATCATTGTTGGGCTGGACAATGCAGGGAAAACTACCATCCTTTACCAATTGTAAGTATTAACTACCTTAAAAAATTTACTTTTTTGTAGAAAATTTACTTTTTTGTTGTTTCTAGTTACTTTTTCTTCCTGTGTGGATACTTGATCAATGAAAGCAATAAAAAATTATGTAGAACCTAAATTACTGTGTAAGGAAGCAGGTTGACAATAAACCAGGAGCCAAATTTAAGCAACTGTTTGTAGAGAGTAGAAATTTATATGACTTTGAGCATGTTTCTCACTTGTTTTGCACTAAAGCTCTTTTGCTTGTAGTAAGTAGGAAAATATATATTTGTATAGTTTCCTGGAATGATCCGGAATATTCCAGACAATCTACTACCTAGTTCCAGCTCTGTTTAAACCTCAGCTTGTTTATGTTATGAGCTAGTGGAAAGAGAATATTTGGATATCAAATATAAATAAGGCCATGATGATTTGTCCCTTGACTGAAAATTGTTCAGACGACTTAGATTTCTTGATAATTATAATATATGTGAATTTTTCCCCCCAGTTCTATGAATGAAGTTGTACATACATCCCCTACAATAGGAAGTAATGTCGAAGAGATAGTGATAAACAATACACGTTTCCTAATGTGGGATATTGGTGGCCAAGAATCTCTTCGTTCTTCCTGGAACACTTACTATACTAACACAGAGGTAATGTTTCTTAATATACTAAAATGTCTGTGAACAGGATGCCTGGGGAATACCTAAATTTGAACCCTTATAGTTAATCTTTTTGAAATATCACAGTATGTTAATATATGTAGAGTTTAAGCATAGTAGAATTTTTAATTCCCTATTTCAGTGTCATTGTTCTGTATATCTACTATCATTGAACCTCTGTGGGGAGAATTGGTGGTTGATTAGTCTGATTGTATATTGATCCCAGGACTTAAGTAGTTGTTTTTATAGTGACTTCCATCTCACAGTATGTACTTTCATTTCTCTGTTACTATTTATGTTTGAAAGAGCAAGAGAAATCCTAGTTATATGAGAGGGCTCTGGTGGTTTAAATCCAAACCAAAGTTTTACTGTGAATTTTCTTTTATGCAACACAGTTGCGCATTAAAGATTTTTTTTTTAATTATGAAGCATTTTAGAGAAAATCATGTTTTTATTTACACATTACTTTCCAAGAAATAATTTCAGACCTATTGCATTTGAGCACTTTATGGTATAGACCTGCAAACTGGAAGGCTGTGACAATTGTTTTTGTAGTGTTGATTATATGTTAATAAAACATACTCTAAATGTATATAAAACTGACTTATAAGTAATTAACACACTAGTAAGTGTCTCTAATGACCTGATCCCCCAGCATTCCATTGAGCATTTAATGATGTTTTTTGGAAAAGAAATGGTATATATGGTTATAAATGTATAAAGTTATATAGGGTACCCTTGGTATAAAATGCATGCCAACAACATGGAAATTAGCAGCTTTATTAAAATACTTTGGAATAGAACATGTATTACAGTAACAAAGCCACCTATCAGTAAACTGTCAGGTGAAAGAAAAGGTAAAGTAGCAATTCTTTTATCCATCTTCCTTATGGTTGATGAAATCAGAAGACTAGAAAAGACCCTGAAAATCACAGTGGTTTATTTGTAAATTAAAATCCAGTTCTAAAAAATAGTGTGTGTTAACAGTAGGCAGTCAGAATTAACTTGGGCATCATAAATGCCGTCATAAAGTAAGTTAAATCTGCATTTGCTCCAGTTTCCCGTTTGCTTTTTGGTACTCGTGGTGTTGAGGAGGAGGTGCAGTGGAGCCTATTCCCATACAGAGTCTTTGCAAGTGCTTCCTTGCATCTTTTTTTTTTTTTTCACTAAACAAATGCATTTTTATTATTGCTACAGTTTACATATTTAATTCTAGAAAAGCCACATTGGAAGTCAGGCTTTCCAAAATCTTCCAAAGCCCCCTCTCCACCAGGTCAAATGGATGTGATCTCCTTCTCCCTTGAACTCTTCCAGTACATAATAAGTATTTTCTTATGTATTTATACACTCAGGAAGCACTAACTGAGTGTCGAGCACAGGCCAGGCACTATTGTAGGCCCTTTCATATATCTCCCTGTTTGAAGTAGATGCTTCCTTACATTTTCTGATACCAGTCTCTTCATCAGTTGAGGAAAGTTGTGCTTGCAGGAAGTAGATGCTGTTTGTATAAGAAAGAGTGCTTGTTTTTAGATGTAGACTCATTCTTTCAATTTGTTGATTTTTAAAGAAATTGATTTCTTTAGCTGTCACATTATTCTCACACACATGCCCTTTTAGTCAAATTGATGTTAATAAATAATACCTATCTGAAAGTAACTTAAATTTAGGCCCATAATGTTTTTTTTTTTTTATTGATTTATAGTGCAAACAGATGGATGTAGACCCATTAGCTTTCAAGATACTAATTTAGAAAACAAATGTGTTATATATTGGTTCAAATGTTAGTATCATATTCTCTTTTCTCTTAAAAATTAGTAAATATATTTCAGTTAGAAATGGATCTAACTCACATGTCTTGAGGCTTCACAATGTATAGTAGGTATCTTTGGTTTTCCAACAATACCATAAAATTCTAATTTCTTGATATTAGTAGCGTGTAAATCAAATAAGCTCTTTAGAAATTTTGCAGAATCAAATTATGTAATCACTAATAATTTTTTTGGTAATTATTTTAGTTTGTAATAGTTGTGGTGGACAGTACAGACAGAGAGAGGATTTCTGTAACTAGAGAAGAACTCTATAAAATGTTAGCGCATGAGGTAAGTAGTCTTTTTTACATTAGACATGGGGGGTGGGTATTTCATTTGTTCTTTCTAGTTTCTCATGAGCAAAGATTTTAGGAAGCCTAAAATCTTCAAAGCAAGATTTTACAAAGCAAAGTGGTTTTGTAAACTGATGTTCCTCATTTTCATTGTGGTGATCAGGGCCACCAAAGTGCACCTTTCCCTGTTTTGAACTCTAATTCTGGCAGCTGTGTTAAACCTCCTGGGATTTAAAAAAATACATCTTGCCATTGGGCATTCATTTACCAAGTTCGTTTCTAGTTTGGAATACATAAAAGAGGCAGAAGACTAAAGACTTTTTTTCTTTTTAACTTTGTATTTTGTAAAAATGGAGCATTCTTCAGTTTATTCCAAAGGGTTGTTTTATGAAGATTTTGGAAAAAGTAAAATAGATACAAATGTTATTTGTCTCTTGGCTCTATTTTTTCACTCTGGTAAAGGTAGACCCCTTATTTGATTTTTACTCTAATTGGCTAATATGAAATACATGAAGAGCCCAGTAGAAGGGCTCAGTCTTTAAATAAGTAGCTGGGGATGTTAACTTGAGCAGGTCACCTAACCATATCTGTTATTGATGAGTACACTGAGACCTAGCAAGGTTATGTGACTTGACCAGCTTTTTAAGAGCCAGGATTTGAACTTAGGTATTCCCATTTAAATTCTTTGGTAGGGGAAGGAAAAAAAGACATAAACAATATCTAGCTGGAAAGAGAAAGGAGACTGAGTGGAAAGATTATCAGAGAAAAAAAAGTATAGATGAAGTTGGGAACTAGAGTAAGCCACTCAATAGGGTCAAGAAGAGCCAAATAGGCAGAGTTCTGGAGAGAGACAAATAGATCAAAGACTAAGAATGTGTAAATGAGAAATAAATTTAGATATAATGTTAGTTGGATGTTTCATATATACTACATTAACCAGCAAAATCTCATCATTATCATCAGTGATAATGATTTATACATATTACAAAATACAAAATTATGAAAAGTTTTATAATAATTCTCAAAGCTTCATCTTAAATGAATTGTAAAACTTTGAAGCTCATTAATTTAAAAATAGTTACAAACAACAAAATATGAAATTTTATTCAGAGTGATTCAATTTCTAGAAATTATCTTCACAAATGAAGTTTTGAGAAACAAATTGACAACTATATGTGGTATGTAGAAGATGGTAAATGTCTTGCATTTGCTGTTATTCATTTCCTTGACTAAACTAAAATACATTTTAGGCTCTTTAAGAACAGAAAACTGTAATATGTAGCATAAAATATTTCAAAGTTTTTAAAATTGCTTGTGTACACAAAAGATCAGCATTGTCCACCTTATACTTTAACCTCTTAAGTCAAGTTGATGAATAACCTTAATCCAATGTATCTATTTTCTGTTGTTATAATAATGCATAATTGGTTTTTGAGGTTATATAATAAAAAATAAAGTAAGATTTTCTTTCCTCTCTTGCTAAATATTTTAAAATAGGTAAAACAGCTGTTTTTTAAAAAATCAACAGCCCCCCAAAAAGTTTCAGCTTTTGAGATCTAGAAATTGTTTTCAATTTTTTTTTTTTTTCTGGGACCTTTCAGTAAATGGCTTTGTTTCTTGTGTTTTCCATTTTTCAGTCCAGGGTTTTCTCCAAAAAGTTTCATCACTAAGAGTGATGAATAAAATTAATTATAAATGAAAAGCATGTCCTAATTTGTGCCAAGTATTTATGTTAGAAATTGGTTCTTTGAACATGCCAGCATTAGCAATCTTGACCTATATAAAAGACTTTAACACACAGGAGCACAAGATATTGAAACCTAGAAGATAGGAAGATGGGAATTAAATCCCATGGAAAGTCTGTCTACTCAGTGACTTAGCCACATATCAACTATTGATAATAGTTCCATTTTCCATTTAGGATAAGAGAAAAAATACCTATATCCTTTATAATGAGTATATATATATACAAGTTATAGTCTGTTTCTTCAATTCTTTTGCCTTTGGCAGGTGAACCGAACTATAGTTAAACTAGTTGAACATGAAACGTTAAAACTGTTAACATTCTAGCAGTATTCTTTTCTGACCATGCTATTCAGGTAACTGTATTTTTAACTGGTAATATTAATAGCTGCCACCCTGCAGAGGGCACTGTAACTAAAAGTCAGTCTTGATTGTTATATAAAACATTTTGCATAATTCCTTCCAACCAAATAAGAAATTTACTTTTTATATTTTTTGTTTATATCAGAAAGAATTAAAGAAGTCATCAAAACTATATTCTAACAAGAGTAAAATAATATGGAGCAATGTCAGTTTGTACCTACTGAAGACTTTATTTCTTCAAATACATATACACATTATTGACCAAATATCCCACTAAAGTCCCTAAGAAGAAGAAAGATGGCATTCAACACAGTTGAGAAAACTTGTAAGCATAGCACCAAAACCTTAGTTTTGTTAGCATCTCTTAATATATATAGGCAGAATTTGATGAGAATTTAATTCACTAATTGAGTGCATCCTTTATGGATTCTTGGCTGAGGATCTATGAATGGACTTTAGGGTATCTATCAACACCCTAAAATTGTACATAAACTTAAAAAAATTTTTTGGTATATGTACATATGTGCATTTTTTATGGGGAAAAGATTAGTAACTTTGAATAGATTATCAAGGAAGTCCCTGTTTTTAAAAAGTTGGGGTAGTGGTTTGTGGAGAGGGGAAGAGTGGGGCAGAAAGAGACCAAGAACCGTTTGCCTGTTTTGTGAGTAAAACATTATATCAGTCATTTGGGGTATGCACAATTATTATATTTGGGAAAAGGTTAGTATAGTGGGTGTCTTGCTCAGATTAGATACTCAATAAATGTTAGTTATGAGGAACAAATTGAGAAAGTTTAAAGAACTTGCCTCAGAGCCATAGCATGGAAGTGGTAGAACTTAACTACCCAATTGGAGAAATTTGTTAAGTTTAGTGCCAGTCCAGGATGGCCCTATTACATATTCAAATCTAAGAAATCTTCATGGACAAAGATAGAGGAATTAGGTCTCAGAGGATAAATAGGATTGGTTTAGGACAGCGTTTCTCAACTGAGAATTAAGCCCTAAGGCCTTAAGGCATACATTGTATATAATGAATTCATTTATTTCCTATGCATCTAGAAGGTACTAGCTATGTATTTGTTGGGAGACTTGCAGTGTACTTACTCAAATCATTTTCTGTAGAGCTTAATTCTCTCGTGGAACCCTGCTTGTGAAAGGCTTGTTTAGGAAGTTAAAAATAATGGAATGTATGAAGGAGAAATGACTTGAACAACATAGAAATGGGAATGCCCAAAACTATTTAGAGAGCAGTAAATACACTGCTTATTAAAGCAGAATATTTATATAGCAAATGATGTAAGGCAGAAAATGGAAGGCAAGGCAGAAAAGTATAGGTAGGGTAGAATTTTGGAGAGTTCTTGAGAGCCAGGCTAAAGGGTAGTTCTTAGCAGCCATTTAAACCTGCTTTTGGAATAGAGGTGTGGTGCATATATATTATATTTGAAGATGTCACTGGTAAATATAACCATAGGACCATTAAAAAAAACCCATGGAAATCCATACAAGTAGATAATTATTTAAAATGTACTCAGTGTTAAGTTTAGCCTGTGAGCTGTGAAATGCTTTTATGTCAAATCATTGAGAAATTCTAGGTTACTAAAATTATGAAAAATATTCTAAGTGGAAAATATATGGAAAAATCTACTCATTTAGTTTTGTTTTCTTTTATAGGACCTAAGGAAAGCTGGATTGTTGATTTTTGCTAATAAACAAGATGTTAAAGAATGCATGACTGTAGCAGAAATCTCCCAGTTTCTGAAACTCACATCTATTAAAGATCACCAATGGCATATCCAGGCATGCTGTGCTCTTACTGGCGAGGGGTAAGAAGTCTTCCTCTGGATAACATGTATTTAGCCTAGAAACATGTGTCTCTTCTTAAGATTTTAAGGCTTCTTCAATATTTAAGGCTACCATGTACAAAACATTGTAAGGGAGAAATGTAGGACATAATTCATGTCTACAATCAGACTTTTTAGGATGGTTCTGTAAATAGTAAAACATACAATGTGAACATAATACACATAAACCTGCTAAACTAATACGTATACACATATAGGTGATACAGTTGGTTTAGGAGCTCAGAGAAATGAGGAGTCATTGAGAGCTGGAGATGTCAGGAAGTACTTTTTACAATGGTGATAGGACTTAAGAACTAATACTTGCCGAGCATGTTCTGTGTCTGGAGTGCTTTCCATGCAGTGTCTCATTTAATCCTCATAACAATCCTATAGACTAATTGTTTCTAACTTACATTTTACACATAAAGAAGCTGAAATAAAAGAGGATCTATCTGCATGTGATACTAGTTTGGGGATACCTTCTGTTGCCACCAGGGTTGTCAAGAGGGTGTTATTACACTTTTAAAAAAAAGTTAAAATTGGGAGAACTGGAGAGAGTATGGCTTGAGGATCATTGGTTCTGTAATGAGAGATGTTGGAAGAGAGGTGGGGGCCCACAGTAGAATTTTGCCCTGGTTTAGTGCCCAGAGATGAAAGGATTTGAAGAATGAGATGGTGGTCAGCATTGTCAAATGTAAGGTCAAGGACCAGGAGGATGGAGAGAGTGTCATTGAATTTAACAATAAATGAATAAGTTCAATCAAGCAGTTGGTCAGAGCAGATTCTGTGTATTGGGAAAGTGGGCATGGGGTAAATGTAGTTTAAAGAGGAAGTGGATTTTAGGAAACGAAGTTAGCAGCTATAAAGTCTTGAGTGTGGCAAGAAAGGGAACGAGAGATAAAATATGTTGGAAATAGGAATAAAAAGCAAAAAGGAGGAGCAAGCTAAAGTAAAGTTTCTGTTGTTTTTTCTAAAATATGGTAGATCTGCATATATTTAAAAGCAGAGCAAAAAGAATTAGAGATGAAGGATTCTAAATAGAGGTCCTTAATTTGGGGTTGAGGTTCTTGAGTTTTTAGGAAAGAGCACAAGCTTGGGGTATAGATAGATGAATCAGCTGAAGTGGGAGAAATTCTTTTTCCTTCAAGACCTTGATGTAGGGTGAACCAGCATAATGAAATTGAATCTTCAGTTATTGAAACTGAATCTTAGTGAAATGGAAGACACTGTTAAAGACATTTGGAAAAGCACACTTAGAACCTTAAAAAAAAAAACAGATTTTCTCACTAAAAAATCACAGATAATACCAACTGTTCATATATATTAATTTAAATAAAATGTTGTATATTTAAAAAAAAAAATGTTGTATATTTTTTGTCAAATACTTTAATACTATATAAATCTCTCTATCAGGCAAAAACACTGATTATAATTAAATCTGGCAATAAAGACAAGTCATCTAGGATTGAAATAAGATTTAATTTGTATACTTTGGCAATTGAGTAATTGTTTAAAAAATGTATTATTATTTATTATAGATATGAACTCATTTTTATTTTAAAAAGAGAAAAAGTAGTTTCTTTTTTTTTTAATTGGTTATGAATATTCATGGGGTACAAAGCTGACCGTCACCCCTCGTGCCCGGAGGAAAGCAATACATAATGGTGTCTTCAAATTTTGGTTCATGTGGTCTTTCCTCTATAACATGGGAAGGATTCTGTTGTGTTGTGAAGATTAATTAGGATAATGGATGTTAAGTGCTCAGTATAGTTTCTAGTTTGCTATTAGATAACTACTGTCCATTTAGCAGTTCAAAGTTAAATCATCTGTTCTCTTATTTTTAAAAATTATTTTGTACTATTTCCTATCAGTCATTTTAAAGTAAGGAATCTAGCTACAGGAGAAAAGTATGGGCTAGCACCCCAAAACAACCATTACTTACCTCATTGCCATCTTTTTTTCTATTTTTGTCATCCTTTATATTAGACTCATACTTAACACAAAAATCTGAGTTCTGTTTTTTTTATCTTTACTTAATATTGTAGTATAGTTTTTCATATCTAAAAAAACTCAGTGTAGATACTTCATAAGAGCCCTTCATTTTGTTGTAAAGTGATATGTACAACCATTTTCTTCTTGCTAAATATTTAGTCTTACTACAATGAACATCTCTTTCTATATATTGGATTCATCGATTACTGGTGTTAGTGATGTGAGATTTTTATTGCCTTCAAATTCTTTTATGGATAGATATAACATACATATTGTGTATATACTTGAAAAACTCAACTATATATTAGTTTAATACCCTGCTGTTTTTACTTTATTTATGTCATGAGCATTTTATCATATCATAAAATAGTTTTTGAAAGTTTTTAATATTTTATCATAATTTTTAAATTTATCTCTATTCATAATTTGATAATTTATCTCCTCAGTAATTCTGTTTATAATTTGTTAATATATGTCTTTCTAGAAATTTAAATTATGCTTTTTTCTATTAAAAATGCTTTAATTAACAGTTTTATATGTAAATCTGTTTATCTCTTTAGGGTACATTTCTAGAAATAACATAAAAAATACAGAATATTGATATTTTAAATATTTTTGATATATAGTGCCATATTATTTTCTGTGGACATTCATTGTATAATTATTGAGCTCTTTTTATTTGTCAGGCAGTATTTTAGGCACTAGAGATATAACCGAACCCAAACAGCATGGATGTACTATGTTTGAATGTGGCTTCACTGCCTCAGCTACAGCATTGAATATTATTGATTACACCAGTCAGCACAGATGCTCGGTTTCCAACATTTTAAAATGTAATGTTACTTATGAAAAGTATTTTGCATAAGGTTATGTATGTATTGTGTATATACCTCAATTTCAAGTTAATGGCTTTGATTTGTGTTCTAAAGAAAAGCAAATAACACAAAAATTAATAATATCCTAGTTATAACCATAATGAGATTTATACTGGCTTTGGTGTTAAGTGCCATTTTGTACTTTTCCTCTATGTTCTCTGTATGGTACTAACCGACCCCCGAAATCATTGAGCTCCTCTTAAAAAAAAGAAAAGAAAAGAAAAAGGAAAAACTTGATATTGTGTACCTATTTTTTTGTTGATCAGTCACACACAAAAACATGTAATTCAACTGAGTGGAATATCTGTCAGACTCTTAGCTTAGTATTACTAATGGACAGAATTGCACAGTAAGCTATTATCAGATTATTCCTTTTGTTGGTCCTTAGGCCATCTAAATTACTGAATAAATTGTTAATCCATTAATCAGTCATAAATTGTGATTAAAATTATCAAGCATGAATTGAACACTGTTGTGTGAAACATGTCTACCCAGAGAAGTAACACTCTATAAATACTATTAAATAATTTAGCTACAGTCTTTTTAAGTATTAAATCATATGTCAAGCAGTTAAAGTGAATTTGAGAGTAAAAGTAAGGCATATTTTCCAAGCAACATCGATAATTTCTTAATTTGCCAATTTCTTATTTTAGTGGGAATTGAAATAGTTTGACATTTTTTGTTTCTGTAAATTTTCTTGTATCTTCTTCCACCACATAAATGCATTGTTTGATAACTATAAAGTACAAATGCTTTTGAATGCTTTTAAGAATTGGGTTTAAAAATTTATTGACGTGATATATTATTTGTACTGAGAAGTAACTTGACCCAAAATACCTTTTATGTTTGCATAGGGTATTTTTTTCTGTATCTGAAAGTTGAAGGTATTTCTGTTATAACTGTAAACAGATGTTCTAAATGTGTTAAAACATATTCTTGCGTACTCTATTTGTATATTTTTCTTTCCCCGAAAATCTGAAGGTTAATCCAAATTGGCATGTATTAGAATGTTCAAGAAAAAAAAAGCTATCTTCAATACCAGCCTTTTAAATTTCATGAAGATTTTGGCGAGGAATAATAGTACAAGTTATAATCATTGATAACACTTTGAAAGTTCTTTTCTATAAAATATAAAACACTCAATATCTAAATCCAGGTCAGGCATGGGAGATCAGTGTTTATCATTAGATGTTTTGTGTTTTATACTTACATTGTTCAAAATGCAATTATAACATTTAATATTTGTCAACATGCTTTTCCAAAAGTAAACCCTAAGTTTCGTTCGTATGTTCTCATACTTTTTCAGATCACTATAAGGAATTACTTATTGTATATCAAAAATTCTCTTAAAAACCCAAATCTATTTTGTAACTTCATCAGAGACAAATATTCTTTAAAGCATCTCAGCAAATTCACACAATTTGTGTTTTTTATTTTTTGACTTGAATAATCACGTGCTTAGTCCTTTGGACTGCTGCCATATCAGTTCAACATACCAGCAAATTTCCTTGTCATCAAGGTGTTGGCTAAAATTTATTCTTAATTGAATGTTTAAAGCATGCACTGCATTGTTAAACTTGGTTTAGTGTAGTAGATTATTGACATGACATCATGAGAATGCATGAAATCTTATACTGTATTTACAAAACATGATTTTGTTGTTTTTTACCCTTCTAGGCTAAGCATTAAAAATAAGGCAGTACCCATTCTTGTACATAAAAACAAAATTATAACTGGGGAAAAAAGATTTAAATTCACTTATGAAAATATCAAAATCATTTTAACAGTATTACTTCCAAATAAGATGGAAAGCCTCATGAATAGTCATATTGGCAATTTATATGTAGTTTAAGTGGAATTGAGCAAAGTGCAATGCTTTCGGATTTTTAATATTGCTACTTTTGGGTGTATACAAACATCTCATTTAGGGTCATTGTGCTTAGTTTTGAAAAGAACAAAGTTTCATACCTCCATACATGTGGCTGGATTTAAACATTCTGTTTTTAATACTAATTTTGAAAGTCATATAACTTCTCTTGATATCTTGGTAAAAGTAACCATATGCTATAAGCATTTAAATATGTGTTTAATTTTGTCATAAAAGCATTTATAAAGTATA